GCGAACGTAATAGCAAAGGCAACTGATTCGTGACCACGCTCTCGTTCCTAACAAGTTTCCTGATTGGTGCATCACACATTTTGAATGCTCACAATTCAAGAATGGAGTCAATCTGTTTCGTTTTATTGATTTATTCTACTAATATCAGTAAAGTAATTGCAAACTAAATTTGAAAGAGAAACTAATTATCTCCAAACTGGTAGTTTTTCTGAATTAAGTTTGATACTTTTTAAAATGCGGGATCGTTGGACCTCATTACTTGTGTATTTTTATATACTAGATATCAGCTTTCCAGGGTATTTTATAGTATCTGGATTTCTTGTTTCGCATGATTGAGAAATTATATCAAATAACTCGAAATAATCACAGTATACGGAAGAACATTCTGATCATATATAATGCTTACATTTTGTTGCTTACCAAGGCAACAAGACCGTTTAATGCCCTCTTTGATGCACGCCACCAAGTGATCACTTCGCGACTGTATATGTGAACTCTTTATCACCTTTATCCGGAAGCGGCACACGCGTTTCAGGACACTACGATGATACGATATGTATAGATTCCTTTCAGGTAAGTACAGTTCTTTCATTTGTTTTTAAAATGTGGGATCGCCGAACCTCATTATTTGTGTATTTTTTACATACTAGATACCGACTCCCTCATGATAGGCGAATATAATTTTTTATAGTATATGGGCTTCCCGCGGTCATGTGGTTGAGAAATTGTCTCAAAATAATTTATCGTGAAACCATGGTTCTCGAAATAGTCACACTATACGGGACAAAATCTTGATCATATCTAATGTTGATGCATGCCACGACAACAAGGCCGATTAGTGTCCTATCTGATGCACGCCACCAAGTGGTCACTTCGCGACTGTATATGTGAACTATTCATGACCTTCACCAGGAAGGGGCACACGCGTTTCAGGACAGGAAGACAATAGATACGTATGGTTCAGGTAAGTCATTATTTTTTATGCGACATGCCGTATATTTCAATTTTAGTTCGTTTAAAGCGTTTTGTCTGTTTCATAGTGTGCTTAATGTTATAGCGTAAGGTAACCTTTAGACCAGACATAATGTTAAACACAGAGGGAAGGATTCTATTTGCACCCACACCCTTAACCCTAACTCCAACCCATCCCAAACCGAAGTCCAACCTCAAGCGCTCCCCGATTTTAATTGTAGTTCCCTTACTTATAATCTATAGTTATCTAAAGGGACATATACTGTCAGTTGGGGGGCTTTGCTTGAGGGCTATAATAAGGGTTTGGATGGGCGTACAAAGGAAAGTACTTCCGACAAATAACGTTAACACTTACAGACTAATTACGACTTTTCAACCAATATAAATATTTCATCGATCCCCTAAACAAGTGAATGTGTCAGGCGTGCATGTGCGCTTTTTTATTTGTGTAGAAAATTTAAATACTGATGTGAAATGTATCAAACAAAAAATAGTCGAAGGTACAATTTATTACAGTAGTGATGTAGTCAGTAGTCAGATCCTGGAAATAAGTATATTGTTTCAGGCTTCAGTTTTGCTTTTTTTGAAAATTAATGTTTATTATTTAAGCAATACCCCCCCCCCCCCCGCCGAATGCAAGTATACCACGAAATATTGCACAATTCACGACAGGGGTTTATTGCTATTGTACTATACTAATATATTGACAATTCAATAAAACTAGTAAAAAAGAGACTATGGCCCGTGTATATGAATATTATATAAATATATAAACAGTATGTATTTGTACACTGAATGCACACAAAATACACAAGTTC